GAGCTGGGATACATTGGGATGAGCTGGGACACGCTGGAACGCACTGGGATGAGCTGGCATACTTTGGGATGAGCTGGCATACTTTGGGATGAGCTTGGACACGCTGGAACGCACTGGGATGAGCTGGGATACGTTGGGATGAGCTGGGAGCAGTGATGCTGCAGGGATAAGCCAGCAGGGAGTGCTCCAGTCCACAGATGGACAGGGCAGCAGGAACTAAGCAGCGGAGCGGCCAGCTCTGGAGCTCCCTCTTGCGAGCTCGCCTGGGGAGGTGAAGTCAGAGTGCTTCACTCCATGCCCTGCCTGCCTGTGCTCGCACCTCCAGGACCCCTCCCCAGGGATTCTCCTGCCGGCACTGCGCCCTTCCGTAGCGGACGGGAATTTAGGCAGGCAGAGAGAGGGTGTGTCCAGCCACGTCTGGAACACTCCTGTCTTTCTCCGGCTCTCTATCCCTCTCCCTCGCTCTACCCCTCCCTTCTGTCTCTCCCTCCCTCCCTCCTTCCCTCTGTAATTACTGCCAGTGTGTCACCAAACCAGAAACCTGGCTGTAGGCTCAGCTCCTATTTTTACATCTCCAACGCTGCAATTACTGAAAGACGCAAAGGGTATTTTGGGAGCCTTTCTGACTTAACCACATGCATCTTACCCACATAAATACACTCCAGGCTCAGGAATTGCTGTTTCACCAAAAAAAAAAACATCTCAATACAAAACTCACTGCAGAATATGTACCGGAAATCTACTTGTAGGTCTGGAGACACTAGCATTTCCTATTTGTATCTCAAGAGGGGTCATTCCCTGGAAAGTGTCTGTGACCCAGGTTCACAGAAGAGGGGTCAGTGACAGTCCAGGCTGGTCAAGCACCACCAGCCCTAGGGCTTGACACACACTCCAGCAGCCCTTGTCACCCATGTGCATCTGCACTCTCTCACTCCACACCTCCCCCTGTCACGGTCTGGAACAGAAAACTGACACAGATCACAGTGAGACTGGGGCTCCTTTACAGCTCTCTGTCTGTCCCAGACTGGCAG